TTCTCAAGTTTTGTCTTAAGAACAATCTTAAGAAAAAAGATAAGAATATTCTTAAGATGAATTTTTGGGAATACAAAATATTCTTAACTTTTTTTAAAGTTAAAAATAAGAAGAAAATGGCAGTTAAGAAGAAATTTCTTCTTAAGAATGTTTCATGAATCCGGCCCCAGGTTTTCAAATGTGCTTATACTCTCCATCTCACTCAGAATGTTTCATGAATCCGGCCCCAGGTTTTCAAATGTGCTTATACTCTCCATCTCACTCAAATGAGCAATGCTGCCCTTTATTTGACAAGATAAGGCAGAGAATACTTCCTGCCTTGATGGCCTAGATAGATATTTTTGTGTGTGGCAATCGCTATCAATCTCCACAGCCCTTAAGCCATGCACACTTCAAACGAGAGCGCTACATGGGGTTTGTCATTGTAGGAGCACAGAGGATATTTAGGCCCTGGGGTGAAGGTTGCATCTCTAGAAGTAAGAGAACAACCAAGATGCTCATTCGCTTCAGGCACCGTAATAACATTTTCTGCGGATCCAAAGATCCCAACCTTCCACGCACATACATGATGAAGTTTTTTTTTTTTTTTTTACATCCTTGGTGAGTCTTTGCACTTAAGGAGATGTTTTTAAAGGGGTCATATGATGCTTTTTTAAAGATCATTATTTTTTGTATTTGGTGTAACAGAATATGTTGACATGCTTTAATGTTAAAAAAACACATTATTTTTAAAATACTGTACATTATTGTAGGTTCTCTATGCCCCGCCTCTCTCAAACGCTTTGTTTTCTACAAAGTCCCTCCTTCCAACAAGCGCAGTCGCATCATATGACCCCTTTAAAAAATCTGATTTTAAATCAGCAAATGCCATCTTGTGGGAAGCAACGCCAATGTTAAAAATTCAAAATCAAAATATGTTTTCTTCCCGAAATCAGATTCAGGCTGCTACTGTCTTAAAACTACTATAAAAAGTTAAAACAATAAAATTCTGCCTTTATGTCTTTCCAGACCCGAACCACTTTATTTCTTCAGCATGTGCCACTCACTCCTTTCCATGCTTTTACAATGAATGTAATCTAGACCTTTCAAATTTCAAAAAGGATTTAAAAGAAACGTAAAATTGCTACATATGGAATGTGTTTTTTATACCAAGTTTTCTGAAGTCCTATAATAACTCTGTGAAGACTGAAAATGTATAAATTATTCATTTAATCATTTTTATCATTATTTTACAAAGCTCCCTTACTAACCACTGTGACCACATCAGTCAGTAACTTAAACAACATCAGTCAGATTTTTGAATAAATCATTCAGATTGTTTTTTTTTCATATCAGATCAACCAATTCTTTGAAAAGATCTAAATCAAAAGTGGTATTCATTTACAAATCAGGCATCATTACTTCATTTTTCAGCTAAAGAAGTCCAGTCCCTATTCATTGTATTGCATCGAAAAGAACAAACCGCACATTTTTCAAAATATCTCCTTTTGAGTTCCACAGAAGAAAGTCAGCCATAAAGGTTTGGAACAATATGAGGGTAAATGATGATAAAAATATACATATTTTTAAGTGAACTATTTCTGTAATTCCCACAAGAAAACATTCCTACTCTTGCTTAAATGACAAATTTGTTCCAATTGGCTTGAGAGTTTTGTCCATGTGAGAAAAAGGCAAAAAGAACCTCTCATGCAGCATTCTACCTCCTTCAGGCTCAGATATAAGACTGCATCTTCTCAAGACGATACCTATACTCTTCCTCGCGTCTCTCAGGTACTGAACACAATCAAACTCAGTCCTGCTGTAGCTCACAGCAGTGGCTCTAGGGATATCCCAATATCTCACTCCAAATCTCCATTTCATCACAGCATACATGCTCCAACCTCACTAGATCTACCAATAACCAGTACTGATGACAACCCCAACTCCTGAAAACATGAATTACACATGTATCACTTAAAAGCATATGCCTGATTAGCACACATCTACAATTTAAAAAAAGGACACCTGCAGTGGAAAAATATCCTCCAGACCCTGGCAGGATTCACCATAGTGCCCTATAGTGAGTTTACCACATAATACATTTCAAATTGAAGATCATTTAGTCTTGTGTATGGCACAAGAGACGCTGCATACATAAGCACCACCAGCTTAAACAACACCTTTTATGAGAACATGTATATTTAAATGCAACACCTCTAGGTGCTACCACATGTTCAGTCAGATTTCTGTGCTGACTAAATCCGTGTAGGATAAATAACCATTAATTAGATCCTCAGAATGTGACCTTGAAAACAGCTACAATCCTTTAACATGTAGTGTTCCTGCGAAGAAAAAATAAACTATCTACTCCATCTTTGTAAGATCTAATTGGCAGAACTTTAATAAAAATTATTAACAAATGCACCCTGCCATGGGATGGTAAATAAACAGTTGTATGGTAAATAAACAGCATACCGGAGATTTATCTGTAGAACAAATCGTCCATAACTATATTTAGTGCAGAAAGCTCAAATGTGCAAATGGTCTGCACTTTCCCCTTTTTGAAGTAATAAGGAAAACAAGAAATATAAAACAATTTCCATGAAAAATAACACAAATCAAATCATCTTGTAGTAAATATTTCATGAATGTACTAGGAAATAGAGCACTTATTCTCACCCCACATGCAGTGCACTTCAACTAGAATAGCTAAATAAAGGGACGATTAACATCTGTGAATTAGAAATGAAGAAAAAAAGTGAAAACAGCTTTAATTTGTTAATACCAGCAGACTGTTGTCATGTGGATGTACTAAATGCATGTTGGCCTGGAGCACGTTGGCTGGGTGCAGTGGCTCGGCAACTGTTAATATGACAAGCCAGCGACTCGGCTGACATAGAGGAGCAATGAAAAATGGATACACAATCTGTTTGTCGCTGGCAGAGTTCCACCGGTCCCTTGTTTCCCTCATCTCCATAAGGACACCTATCCTGCTCTATGGCATGATGGGAATTTGGTTTGATAATGATAATAATAATAATACTAATAATAATAAAGAAGAAGAAGCAAATACAGTGGAAGGTCAGCTAAATTGTATATACCTTATCAAGGGTATACCACCAGAATCATGTAGTTGACTCACTGGGGACAAGGGAAAGATGATTCAATTAGGAGGACCTTTGACCTGTGTTTCCCCCAGCTGGCTGGAATCCCAGAGAGGGTAATCAGCAGAGAACTGTGGATCCGATGTATCCATTTCCTGAAGCAAGCATCTCTCAATCACTCAGTGAGGATTTAATGGGGTGACACAAGTTGGATTGCCAACCAGGAAAGTAATGGACACTGATTCATAAGGGACATGTCACTGTACTGACCTTCATTTTGGACCACCAAAACATTGCTCCTATGACATCCTCACAATGGTTTCTGTCAAAGTATTGGCAATCTTCGGATACTATCATGTTTGAAAAAAGGGTTAATTGCAAAAAAATCTTGTAATCATGTACTCACACTTATGTTTTCTGTATCCACTTATGTCTTTTCCAACTCCATAATACAAAAGTTAGGATATTTTTAGTATTCTCTCATATTTTTTCCTCTGTTTAATCTAGATTAAAGACATATGTCTTCAGCCAAGCATTGACATGTACTAAAATTCTATCTGATAGAAATGGTTACATGATAATCGTTTCCTGCTATGAACTAACATATTCGTTGTATCTGCTTTCCTGAAAACATCTCGGGTTACTTGCGTAACCCATGTTCTCTGAATAGGGAACGAGACGCTGTGTCGCTATGACGCAATGGAAATGCCCTCTAGGCATGCCGATTGTCTGAAGCCCGTATAGAATCATGCCAATACATTGGCTGATGGCGTGGGCCCCGCCCCACGCTCTTGCGTCGCCATCCTTATACTGGCGAATGCGCCATCTGCTCCTCAGATTTCTCTGCCGAAAAAGACCTCTTGTCAACAGTGCGAGGAGCTTGGCAGCAGACGCAGCGTCTCGTTCCCTATTCAGAGAACATGGGTTACGCAAGTAACCCAAGACGTTCTCTTTCATAGCTTCACTCAACGCTGCGTCGCTGTGATGCAATGGGAACGATATACCAAACACACCAAGCTAAAGCGCTGCCGTATCTGGCCCGATGAAGAACCAGATTGTATCCCCGGCTGGTTCAAGCGGATAAAACCCGGGAACCAGGGGCCATCTCAAAATCCAAATTATGGAACCTGATAAAAGTGTGCAGAGAGGACCATCCTGCCACTACACAAATATCCTCTAGAGGGACTCCCCTAAAAAGAGCTTGAGAGGAAGCCACAGCCCTGGTGAAATGCGCCCGAACGCTGAGAGGTGAAGAAAGACCACGCACCTTGTATGCCAGCGAAATAGCGTCCCTAACCCAGTGCGAAATTCTATGCTTCGATGCGGCAAGCCCATGGTGGCCAGCACCAAAGCATACTAACAGCTGCGGAGATTTCCTCCACTGGCTAGAACGATCCACATAGAGCTTCAAAGCTCGGACAGGGCAGAGCATGCACCACCTGAGAGCGAAAAGATGCAGGCAAAACCTTGGAAACATATCCTTGTCTGGGTCGTAAGGTTACTTAAACCAGACCCGGGGCAAAGTCCATACACACCTCGCTGACCGAGAGAGCTTGCAAGTCCCCAATTCGCTTCAGCGAAGTTAGCGCCAACAAAAAAACAACCTTGAGAGTCAGAATCCGTTCTGGAGCTGACTCCAAGGGCTCAAAAGGAGCTTCTATTAAGCCCTCCAGGACGACTGATAAGGGGGCGTGCTGGTCTCAGATGCCGAACTCCACGCATAAACGCTGAGACCAACCGATGTCTCCCCAGGGGAATGTCATCCAACTCTGTCTGTGCGGCGATGGCCACAACATAAACTCTCAGGGTAGGAGCCGCCGCCCCTGCCACAAGTTTTTCTTGTAGGAACTCCAGTACTGAACCTATAGGGCAGCTGACTGGATCCACTGCATGAGCTAAGCACCATGACTCAAAAACCTTCCACTTGGAGGAATACAGCCTCCTCGTGGAAAGGGCTCTGGCACTAGCAATAGTCTCCTGAACATCGGCAGGAAGACTAGAAGTCAAAGCTGGTGGCCTTTGATGGGCCATACCCACAGCTTCCAGATCTCGGGTTGAGGGTGCCAGATCTTGCCTTGAAGCTGAGACAGCAAATCTCTTCTGATTGGAATCTCCCACGGAGAGCGATCCAGAAGAGAAATCATCTCCGAGAACCACATCTGGGATGGCCAGAATGGGGCCACTAGCAGGAGACGGACCCAGCTCTCCCTCACTCTGCACAGTACTGCCGGAATCAGTTTGACAGGCAGAAACGCATACAGTGTCAGGTTCGGACATGGGTGAGCGAACGCATCTATGCCCAGGGGTGCTGGGGAACTCAGGGAGAACCAAAGTGGACATTGGAACGACTCCTGCATCGCAAAGAGGTCCACCTCCGCCCTGCCAAACAGGTTCCAAATCTGGGCTACCATTTGACGGTTCAGCATCCATTCCCCCGATTTGAGCTTCAAGACTCCAAGGTTCAAGACTCCCGGGACGTGCCTTGAGCCCAAAGGAGCAGACGGCTCGCATTCCTGTCCAGGGTGCGGGACCGGGTTTATATGAGATACTACCGCCATGTAGTAATCACATGACACCCCTCGAGAGAGGGGAGAAAGTATATCAGTGCCAGAAAGACGCCTCTCAGCTCCAGGCTGTTTATGTGCCAGGAGAGAAACTCTTCTGGCCAAACTCACCACGCTGGCCTGCCCTCGAAGACTGCGCCCCAGCCCATCAGTGAGGCGTCCATCATAACCATTTGGCGACGGTGAACAGCGCCCATACTGACCCCTCCCTAAGAAAGAGTGGGTCCTGCCACATTGAAAGTGCGCGAAAGCAACTGCTCGACACTCTTACTAGGCGAGAGGCTGGTCCTGTCGAGCGGATCCCTATGAGTTTCATCCACCACAGGAACGGCCTCATATGAAGCAGCCCCAGGGGCAGCACAGGGGAGGCTGCGGCCATGAGGCCCAAGAGTCTGCGACAAGTGCTTACAGAAACATGATGACCTAGCTTGAAGCGGGCCATGCATGCGTTTAGGCTGGAAATCCGGGCAGGAGCCAAACGGGCCTGCATCTTAAACAGAATCCAAGTGAACCCCCAAGAAAACAGTCTGTTGAGAGGGGGTGAGAACACTCTTCTTGGCGTTGATTCTGAGGCCAAGAGACGGCATGTGGCGAAGGAGGACATCCCTGTGGTGACTCACTAATTCCCTGGAGTGGGCCAAAATGAGCCAATCGTCTAGGTAATTGAGTATACGGAAGCCCTGGAGCCTCAATGGGGCCAGAGCAGCATCCATGCACTTTGTGAACATCCTTGGTGCCAAGGCTAGGCCAAAGGGAAGAACCTTGTATTGGTAAGCCTTTCCCCCAAAGGAGAACCTGAGGAACTTCCTGTGTCACAGAATGACCTGTATATGGAAATAGGCATCCTTCAGTTCGACAGTCACAAACCAGTCTCCCACTCGAATCTGAGAATCTGAGACATAATAGCCTTCAGCGTAAGCATCTTGAACTTCCCTTTGTAAAGGGAGAAGTTCAGTCGGCAAAGGTCTAGAATAGGACGTAGGCTGCCATCCTTCTTTTGGACGAGAAAATAGCGACTGAAAAAGCTGCGTTCAACTTCCACTGGAGGAACCTCTTCTATCGCCCCCTTGAGGAGAAGGGAAGACAGTTCCTGCTGTAGCACAGAAGCCTCTGAGGCTCTGCCCACTACAGTCAGGTGAACCCCGTCGAAGCGAGGGGGGTTGCGACCAAATTGAAGTGTGTAACCGTACTGAACTGTGCGGAGAACCAAGGGCGATGCCCCTGGTAGATGCTTCCATTCGTTAAAGAATTGCGATAGAGGAAGCAGAGTGTTGCAGTCTGTTTGAGGACATACTTGTGTTGGGGTTTTGCTAACATGGTCCGGAGGGGGAGACATCGTCAACCGCAAAGGAGGGCCCTTGGCGTCCTGACGTGGAAAGAGGGAGTCTACAGGAACCAATGCAGGTGGTACAGGGTCTGCTGGCACTGGGAGAGAACCGCACGTGTCTCCTATAACGTGAGCAGCAGATGACGAAGGAACAGATGGTAGGGGGAGAAAGCCTGGTGCGTCTCCCATCCCCCATGTTGAAAGAGAGAGAGGTTGAACGGTTGCTGCACACCAAAACGCGCTAGGCGGCGGATGTGACAGAACTGAATGAGGGGAGCATTTTAGAAGTGGGTAGAAAGGTTTGCACGGTCTGGCCCAGCCTCGTAAGGCGGGGGAAGCTCCCCTCTTCCTGACACTAGAGTCAGGAGCGACTTGATGGAGTCTGTCAGACCGCTTCAGCTCAAACCACCTGCGAGGTCGCCGGTGGGGCAATGGGCGGCCTCTGGGCTTCCCAGACCGTGGGCGATGGTGGACGACCCGGGTCGCTGCTCCTACTACGCGGTGTGCTTGGTGGCTCTCAGGGCCAAGTCTGTGGCTCTGCGGAGCTCCTTGACCGCCTCCCTTGTCCATCTCCTTAAGGACATCCACTTGGTAGTCTTGGAGAATGGTCATAGTATGAAGGGCCATGCCTGCCTGACCATCTGCCATGTAGGACTTTCCGATAAGTGCGGAAGTGGTCCTACATGGTTTAGTCAGAAGGAGGGGGCGGGACTTCCAGGAAGAAGCCGAAGATGGCGAGAGGTGCATAGCTAGTGTATCCTCGATCGCTGGGATGACGGTATAGCCCTGCTCCACAGAACCCACTAGGTTGGTGAAGTCAGCGGCTGCCGCATTAGTAAGGCAGGCGGAGAATGGCTGCTTCCAGGATCTGGAGATCTCCTGATGCAGATCGCTGAGGCCACTCTGGAACCGCTCGTCGAGTTTAGACGACTGGGAATCGTGGGGCTCGTCAGTCCAATCAATAGAGAGCTTCTCTGTGGTGCGCGTCAGCACGTCTACAAGCTCCGAGTAGGCCACGGAGGGCTGTGCTTCCTGACCACTAGTCGGGAAAGCATCGGCTGAAGCAGGCCCAAAATCCTCAGAGTCGGATGCCACGGTGTACAAAACACCCGAAAGAAATCGCATCATGTGCCTCTGGGCTAGGGTATAAATAATCATGCGCGAATTCAACCGGTGAATCCGCGCGCACGTGCTCGGGCGAGAGAGGGAGAGAAAGGGCGAGGCCCGTCTGCTCGCTCTCCATCGCCTCGAGTTTCACATCCGAACCCCAGGTCGCGGATTCACGGAGGGCCTCTGTGGCCTCCGGAGCGCGAGGTGGAAAGACGGATGACTACTTCTCAAAAACCGTGAGCCTAGTGCGGAGGGTTTTGAGACGGAGGTTTTCACAAAATTTGCATTGAGAAACGCCGTGAACTGCCTCACGAGCGTGTGAAAAACCCAAACATTTAACACACTTACTGTGAGGGTCGTCGCTCGCAATGAAGCAAGAACACGGTGGCTGGCAATGACGATACTCCATGGCACTTCACCGCAAGGAGAATGGAGTTCCACTATAGAAGTCGCTGAAGTGCAAATGAAGAAAGCTGATGAAAAACAGTACGAAATCGGGCCAGAAAAATCGCAACAGAAGGGCTAAAATGGCTGCTTCGTGAAGGCAGAGAAATCTGAGGAGCAGATGGCACGTTCGCCAGTATAAGGACGGCGATGCAAGAGCGTGAGGCGGGGCCCATGCCATCAGCCAATTAATTGGCGTGATTCTATACGGGCTTCAGACAATCGGCACGCCTAGAGGGCGTTCCCATTGCATCATAGCGACGCAGCCTTGAGTGAACCTATGAAAGAGAACATGATGTTAACTAACCACATTACATGTATTATATCATAGCTGTATATTACAGCCATATGGATATGTACTTTGATACAAGCATCTCTGGCTGATGACACATACTTCCTAATGGTAATACTGACACTTCTTTCCATTGAGAGTCTAAAAACAAAAAGAACAAAACGCATAAAACCAAATCTAAGCTAAGTATGTGTATAAAAAGATAGTCATTGCTTGACTGCATTAACTGCTAAAATGCATTTACAAATAAATAAAACCTTGAGTAAAGTGCAGTTCTCTAAGACAAGTCGAATAAGGCACAAGATGTACATTGCAACATGCAACATGACACAAAAGCTATGTTTTGATGGTACAGGATCACTGGAGTAGTTTCCTCATGAGGTCATTTAGTGATTGTAGATTTAAGCAAGCCATTGCATAATATAACTGACCACACTGTACACACACACACACACATATATATTTACATTTACATTTAGTCATTTAGCAGACGCTTTTATCCAAAGCGACTTACAAATGAGGACAATAAAAGCAGTCAAAACTAACGAAAGAGCAACAATATATAAGTGCAAATGACTGTAAGGTCAAACCATACATAGCATCTGTTCTCTAACACTGTTATGACTTGACAAGACAGACAGGCATCAGACAAAAGGTCAGAGCCGTGGGCCAGCAGACAGCTGAGTGGAAGTGATGTGTCCCGCAGGTGGCTTTGAAAGAAACTCCCCCACAGAATCTCTTAAACAGCCTAAGACCAACTGCTCACACTGGTCCACAAACAGACCGGTCAACAACACTCAAGCAGGCTCCCTGCAGGTCCCAAACTTTACGGAGGAGCTTGAGAATACCTGGAGAAACTTATTCATTAACTTTTTCCTCTCAATGGCAGTTGCTCAGCTGGTGTGTGACCCCTCAGAACTACACAACCTGCCTGCTGCCATCTTTCATCATGAGCGCTGAAGAAATGCGAGTATCGCTTGCCGCCACGGTGCTAGGATGCTGTGACCGCTGGGGTTTAGTTAGATTATTAGTTAATGCATTGTTTGAGGGACTTAGCTATTTAGCATTATGTTTTAAAATAACACATTTACAAATAATCTTGGAAATAATCTTACAGATAATCGTGTGCATATAAAGTACTATATGTACTTCAAGTATGAACTGCAGACAATAAAATATTGGTTAAATCCAGCCTGATTATTTAAAACATTTAAACAATTAAATATTACATTGAGACATCTCTTATTATATAAAAGTTAATTTATAAGCTTGATTTTAATAAAACATTTAAATAACATTTACATTTAGTAAAAATGTTTTTCTTTATTATTTGTATATTTAATTAAAAATGATTATAATTTTTCAATCATTTTAATTTTTAAAATAAAAAATACAGTAATACTGTGAACTTAAAACAACTCATCTTCTATTTTAATGTATTTTAAAATGTAATTTATTCCTGTTATAACATCTGATTTTTTCTAGTCTTCAATGTCACGTCACACACAATGTCACACACTCACACACACACACACACACACACACACATGTATGCATGTGTGTGTGTGTTGATTTTTAATGCAATATTTATATTTTGTCTATTATATTTAACTTTATTAGAAATATGGCTCTTTCGATGTAAGAATGCATATGGCTTTTTTCTACCTGTTTTATTGTCCATCATGTAAAAATTGTACATTCAGAACCTTAAAAAAGATCAATAAGGCAAGACCACAACCAAATCAATAGACGGTCAATAGATCATATGTTTGAT